GCTTTTTGGAAACAACTTCCGTTGTACAGTACAATGAAACAATAATGACCCTGAAGGGTCTAACAACAACAACACACCTGAAGTAACCAAACAACTGACACAAGCTAACGACAAAGGCCGGTTGGAATGGGAACTTAGCGCCTGTTTGATCAAATAAGTCACCTACTTATAAGTTAAAAAGTGAAATAAGTGACTGATTTTGCCAAACACCGTCAACTTATAAGTCACCCCTGCTTATAAGTTTTAAGCTGGTTCACCCCTGCTTAAAACTTATAAGCCACCCTTTTCCGCATGGGGCCCACGGCTTATAAGTTATCTACAACCAAATAGACATGACTTATAAGTCACTGATTTTCAGTCACCTAACTTAATAAGTCACCTGACTTATGGAAACCAAACAGGCCTTTGGTTCCAAATAAGTCACATACTTATAAGTTAAAAAGTGAAATAAGTAACTGATTTTACCAAACACCACCAACTTATAAGTCACTGCTTATAAGTTTTAAGCTGGTTCACCTCTGTTTAAAACTTATAAGCCATCCTTTTTCACGTGGGGCCCACAGCTTATAAGTTATCTATAACCAAATAGACATGACTTATAAGTCATTAATTTTTAATCATCTAACTTAATAAGTCACCTGACTTATAAAAACCAAACAGGCCTTACCACGCGCCATAGACATGTCAACTCGCACCCAGTTGTACACCAAGGAACTCAACTGCCCCTCCGGAAACTCCCCGAGATAGCGAGCTGATTGCGACACATTGTCCGGATGGCAGAGTGGTCAAGTTGAAATACCAAAGTCACTCCTTGCGCTACGTGATTACCATGATTGGGGAAAGTGGAGCCAGCAGAACAAAGCTGGTGAGTAAATTGTACGGCAGTAGGTAAACCATATCTCATTTTGACATCTATGAGTGGGTTAGTGCCTCTGATGTCCTCAAGATAATCATCATACGCATTACAGATGGAGAAGAATGTTCCAAGGAGAAAACTAAGGACACCCTTCCCACAGGAGAATTTCAGAGTAGCCACCCTCACCGTATCAAGAAACTATAATTGAGGTTACAAAATTTGATGAGAAAGTAGTCACCAATCTGTTCAAGGAAACCTTCTTAACAAATGACAGAAATGAACTTCCTGTTGTTGCTTTGTTTTATTCTAGGTCACTTACCACAGACTTGGTATATAAGGACGTCGTGTAATTCCCTTCATCTTAATGAAACACGTGCAAAGGCTTGTTCGTGAAAAAAGAAGCGATAAAAAATACAGAAAGAGGATTGTGGAGAACACGAAAAGGTTGTGGTAGTTCTTCTCTCATGCCTTCTAGACCAAGAAGTAACAAGGCTAACAAAAAATGACATGGCCAACTCTCAATCAGGTACATGACCAAAATCAAATGAACGTTCGAGCAAACTAGCTTAGCAATAGCGATTCATACAGTTATCTCCTAAATTCTCGCAACTATGCAAGGAATCACCTAGCACAGTGTTTTTCTGACTTAGCAGTAGCTATTCATACATGACTAAATTCTCGCTTGAACTTATCAACCATGGTACAGTGTTTTCCTCTCACAATAAAATAACATCAGTCGGCTGGGCTTATCAGCCGTAAAAACCATCAACCAAACAGCTCTGTATCTCGTACTATTAATCCATGTGAGTGTTCACATCCAAGCGATCACGCAATTCTTGGGTAAATAGGGAATGGTACATTTGGAGCTGACTGTTCTAGGGAAATGCATCTTGGGTATCGGTAGGTTGGACATCCAAGTTGCCACCCACGCCACGCCGTGCCCTCGCAGGTGATGCATAAAGAAAAGATGGGATTGCCGCAAACTACTGAAAGGAGATGCCTTGCGCCATCAATTTAGAGTTTAGTCGCAGGATAGATATCACCTACATGGTGATGTCCAATGCCGTAAACAGGTGGCTCATCTAGAATCTAAGGGTAGGCTGCACAAAAATATTCATATACAATTCGGTAAAAGATTACAAAATTTATAGCATAATTCGATATACATGCACTAAATAATATGATAAATCTTAAATTTAAAGGTTAAGTTGGAGGCTTCCACATATTGGCTCCGTTCGTTTCGCTGAAAAAACAAGACGAAACACTGTTTCGGCTGATTTGTTGTGAGAGAAAAACACTGTTTCGGCTGATAAAATAAGCTGAAAAGTACGGATTATAAGAGAAGCGAGCAGGACCATTATAATATAAATTGTTTAACACCATGCTGATAATTTAAAATGAGGCATGAAAGAGAATAAAAAACTTACAATGGTATTTGTCTAACTTTTTAAGCCAGATTTTTCTAATAAATATTAAATATGATTGCCTCGATTATTAAAAAAAATATAAGCAATGTCTTCGCTTATCTTCATAAGTAGACAATTCTTAAAAAAAAGCAATGTAAACCACATGCGATCGCGATGATAGAATCATAGTTCATAGAAGCAATGTCTTCGCTTCTCTTCGTAAGTGAACAATTCTAAAAACAGCAATGTAAATCACATGCGACCGGGATAGAATCACATGATGTGGTCTGCTATTATAAAACATACATAATATAAATATATGATACAGATGTTTGGTGATATACACAAATAATGATAAGTAATCTTGCTGGTCTTCATCATATACACAAACTAATGATAGGTAATTAATTAGGCAAATCTTAGAAAAGTAATAAGAACAAATTAAGAAACACACAAAGTTGTTACCTGTTAGATTTGCAAACACCGATTAGCCTCTGTATTATTTCAGCTTTTTGTTCTAGTTGTCCATTAAATAGTACTGTCTTCTACCCAAATCCTTATCCAGACCTAATTAACACCAATTAGCATCTGTATTGTAAAGCTTGGAGTGACTCTGATTGGACTCCGCCTCCGCTGCCAGCATGGCCAAATCTGAGCCTCCTTATCCAGACCTAATTAACACCAATTAGCCTGCTGGGCAACTGGTTTTGTTACCATGCTAACGACCGGACGACGAGGACAGCAGCAGTAGGCACGGGTGTGGTGCTTGGCGGCTTGGATGGGATCGCGACTCGCAAGTCGCGAGGCAGGGCAGGCGAAGCGGCGCGGGTCGCAGCAGCGTGGCGCTTGTGATCGTGACTCGTGAGGCACAGATGGAGTCCGGTGAGACATCAAGATAGACTGATTGCGTAAAGGAGATGCTACACTCACATAGTTATGCACCTAATTCAGGATTGCCATAGTATTAATCGAAGAACAAATTTGAGCAAATCATATTTCCATGGACATCAAAGAACGAAGCCAAGCAAACCATTCAGACCAATCTGATCCATCTAAATAGTAATGGATTTGAACAAGGATGGATCAAGTCAAATTGAAGGAGGAAGAGGTGGAAGGTGGCCTGTGCCGGCAGATTGAGAGCAGAAATGTTGGTGTCGATGAGGCCCAGCGTCAGCAAGGAGAAAGAGTCTCAGCCGATCGCGCCACGCGCTGCTGCACGGCAAAGATGTTGCCCTCGCATGGTGAGAGAGGTGACGGCCGCCTCGCTAGCTCCGCATCAAGGGTCTGGCCATCGTGTGTCATCTTTGCCAGTGGTGGATCTAGAATTTTATCTAAGGGTATACCACACAAAAATATTCATACACAATTTGATAAACTCATTTGCCAATTCGGTAAAAGATCACAAAATTTGCAGCATAATTCCATGTACATGCACTAAATAATAGTATATATGTACTAAATAATATGATAAGTTTTAAATTTAAAGATTAAGTTGGAAGCTTCCACATACTACAATATAAAAAGTTTAAAACACATGCTGATAATTTGAAATGAGGCATGAAAGAGAATAAAAACTTACAATGGTATTTGTCTAACTTTTTAAGTTGACGCTTTCAGATATCGAATATGATTGTCTCGATTATAGAAAAAATAGAAGTAATATCTTCACTTTTCTTCATATTTGGACAATTTTAAAAAAAGCAATGCAAATCACATGCGATTGGGATGATAGTCAATAGAATCACATGAGGTAATTAAATATACATGATATGAATATCTGATACTATCTTATGGCGATATACACAAATAATGATAAGTAATCTCGCTGGTCTCCATGATATACACAAACTAATGATAGGTGATTAACTAGGCAAAATTCTTAGAAAAGTAATAAGATCAAATCAAGAAAACGCAAATAACTTATGAAACTGTTTTGAGAAAAAGTCTGTCTGGCAAAAAAAAAAAAAAAAAAAGCTCACAACAACTCATGAAGCTGTGCCAAACAACGCCTAAGTTTCACTATGGTACTCATGCCGGTCAAACATTTTTAAATTTTACTAGCTTTGTAGAAAATATTAACAATATTTGTATATCCAAATGAGTTTATTACGAAAATAGATTCATCAATATTTCTAACGATACTAATTATGTACTACAAATATTAATATTTTCTCGTATGTATTTGGTTAAAATTGAAAAAGTTCGAATTTTCGAGAAGCAAGAGAGGAAGTAGGAGTCCGACCTCACCAAATCAGGTGCAACAACGTTGATAAATGTTCACCATGGTTTTGGTCGCTAGTCGATAATATTTCGTCTCTTCAGATTTATTCGAACTTGTGTGTTCCATTTTTTTTTATCTCCAATCATTGAAAACCTACGGTCTGTTCGGCTGGGGCTGAAACGATCGTATACGATCGTGAATTATTACTGCTGGCTGATTGATGTGAGAAAAAATACTATTATAACTAAAAATTTACGATCATTTACGACCAAGCGAACAGGCGCCAGTCATCATGTGGATAGGAGACGTAGACTGAAAAAACGCGGCACACACTAGTTCATAGAGTCCTGGACTCATTTTACACGTATTTACAGTTCACACCGGCGGAGCCCGAGCACAACCGCCGCTGCCGCGCGCTCCCTAGCAACGAAAACAACCCGGCACGCTTCGCCACCGCCCGTAACGTTCCACGCGGCCTCCCCAGCTAACCCTATCCTCGGCGACCGGGCGACCACGGATGCACCGCCTCGTCGCCTTCTCCCCGCCCGCCGCCGCCGATCCTCCTCGCCCGCTGCGGCCTGGGCGGCGGCCGTCGGCGCGTACAAGATCTACCACCACCCGGCCGTCGCGAGAGCGCCGCCGCCTCGTCGCGCCTTCGCCGCCGCCATCGCGGCCTTTCGCTGACGCCGCCGCGTCGTCCGCCGCGCCAGCAGCGCCTGGTGGTAACCTCGATCTCGCCGACTTCGTCCGGTCCGGCGCGGACGAGGTCCCCAGCAGCGTCAAGCAGCTGGCCAAGCTTCGCCGCCTCCCTGAGGTCTCCGCCACCGTCTCCACCCTATCCGAGGCGGTGACCTCCGGATGCTTTCCAGGGCGCGGATCCTCTAGCTCCGGGCCCGGATCCGGCGGTACCGTGGCCCTCTCCGATCGTCTCGTGAGACAAGCTCTTCTCCGACTCAGGCGAAGCGCCTCGCGGCAGCGGTTGCCGGAGCTTCGCCCGCCATCTCGTGCTTTCGCCTTTTACGCCGCTCCTTCACCTCGGGGAGGCGTCCTCCTCCTCCTCCTCCCCGGCGATGTGGGTCAACGTGGTTGCGACTGGAAAGTGCCGAAGGCGATAAGCAACTGGGTTGAGGTCTTCGTGGGCACCGCTGTGAGGGAGTTCATTGACAAGACCATCCACATCAACACCTACGAGCAGCTCTTCGAGGGCCTCACCAATCCGAGACATGATGCCAAGGTCAAGGAATTGCTTGTTTCAGTGTGCAATGGTGCGGTTGAGACTTTAGTGAAGACCACTCACCATGCCCTGTACAATACTAATGGCAATTTGGATCCAAGTGGTAGTGGCAGTGGCAATGGAGTTGGGGAAGGTGGGTGGAGACTGTGTCGAGCACATTGGCAGTTCCTAGCAACAGGAAGTTTGTGCTTCATGTTACAGGGAGAGTCACATTTGAGACTGTGAGGTCATTTCTGGAGTTTGTTCTTTGGAAGCTGCAGGATGGGGCCAGGAAGGGCAGTGACTCCTTTGTTGACAGTGGGCTGCGCGTGGTGAGGTATATGAGCGATAAGTCCATGGTTATCGCCACGATCTGCATTACATTGTGCTTGCATGTGTTGAATGGGACTAGGCTCTTGGTAACAGCTTGAGAGTGTTGTTTGGATTTCCTAATTTAGCACATTGTTTGTATAAAACTGTAGGAATCATACTGAAACTGTAAATCCAATAAGAGTGGAAAGAAGATAAATTGTGCTGCAAGATTCTGTTCTGCTTGTATGCTTGAGAGATTGGTCTGCACGGCTTTAGTGAGAGTTGTTGATCTGTAGTACTACCTATTGGCAACCATATTTGTGGCCTTGTGGGATTAATTGGCATTTAGATGCCTGCTGTCATTGAAGAATTTTTATCAGTATAGCATTACTGATATTGTTGGGGTCGAGCTGATCAACTAAATGTAGCTGTGTCAACGATGATGTAAAGCAGAGCTTGCTTTCTCACGCGATTATTGAATTATGTCAGATCTCAACTTTGTTTTCTATGATTTGAGTTATTTGCTCAATATAGGATTTATGTTGTGTGTTGATCAATTAACTGGTATCTTATTATCTTGATCTTGACTTTTTGAAATATTCATAAATCCTAGTCATACCAACTTGATATTCATCTCTGTATTTTTCTTCTTTATAAGGGAAGCAGGAGCACTGCTCGTTCCTGTTAGTATTGATCTCCCACCAGTTAGGCCCAACGGCCTAACTGGGCCTTGTCCTCGCGCCCTGATCGGGGGCGCCCAACCCTACATGGTTGGTGGCCCCCCGTCGCACAGCGCTATAAAGGAAGGTGGGGGCCGGGGCTCGCGATATGAGGTTCACCGCGCCGCCAGTCACCCCACCGACATCCTAAACCCTAGACCCGATCGAAAGTAGGGGCGCTGCCAGCGACGGGAAGTGCCACTGACACCGGCAACGCCACCCGACGTTCACATCGCCGCCGAGGACGCCACAGCGCCGACTCACTCTCCACCGACCGTCGCTGCCGGCGCGCAGATGGCATCCAACAACGAAACCCCGGCCGGAGCTTCAACAACTACGGCATTTGACGGTTTGCTACTTATCACCTATCTCTCAATCTCTCTCTGTGAAATCCGATTGATCTATTACTGTGCTAAGAAAACCGATCCGATGAACATACCTAAGAACCCTAAACCTAACAGTTCCTTTACCTGTTATTCGTCTTGATCTTGACTTTGCAACATTCCTAAATCCTAGTCACCTAAGTCATCATTTATATTGTGGGATATACCAATCTAGGCTCTGGTGACTTCTTGTTGAATCTGATCTGACTTGCTCTACATGTGTATTCCAGAGATGGTGTAATTTGTTGGACCTCGTTCCTCCGTCTTAGATGCTGTTTGGTTCGGCTGTTTTTCTCCGTGATCTGTTTACAGGGTATCCCATACCGTTAGTTTGTGTTTGTTTCAGATGGACGGTAATCAGTTAGTATGATAGTGTCGCTCACTTGAGCTTGTATTCAGACTTGGTACTTTGGTTTCTTGGTGCCTTTAATTTGCTTAATATAAGTAAACATAAGCTACTGTTTTCTCTTGTTGATATGGAATTTGACGATCTGGTGGTAGATCCAGATGTCTTCTGCAACTGTTCACGCTTCATACTTCGCCAGAACATTTCCTGTTTTCCCCGCAAAAGCTTGGAACCTTTTAGGCTTAAATAAATGCCATAACTAAAATTAGTGTCATGTTTATGGTATGATCTGGCAATGTATAAATTGGTGGTCTGGTTGTGTTGATATGCAAGTGTGTTCCAAACGTTAAAAGTTATTCATTTATATTCGGTCTGAGCTCATCCGTCTTGGGACGTCACTTTGAATTTTGAATGCCAGTTATTAGCTTGCTTAATTGAACATGTTTCTGTTTCACTGTGCATCTTTACCGGGCTACCACGTCTGCAATTTTTCCTGGGTCCACTAGACAACTACATCTGCGGGGATGGGCCAAATAGATACGGAGGTTTTGGTGGCGGGGCCCAAGGCAAAAGCAGCCTCGGGCCAGGCTTAATTCCAGGCCATCCATTGCAGATATTTTTAGGGCATGCTTTAAAATGGGCCTCCATAAAGGCAATGGGGCCCTGTTCTGATCAGAAAGTTATTTTTAGGGTGTGCTTGGAAATGGGCCTCCAAAAAGACAACGGGGCCCTGTTCTGATCAGAAACTTTAGGCCTCCAGCATCGACATTGACTTATCGAAGACACCGTGAGCGGGTGAACAGTGAACACCAACATTTGCTGTACCTCGTGTGAGAGTTAGCTTTGGCCTTTCGGTATACTACCTTGTGTGAGAGTTGCTGTATGTTTTCCTTTTCCGATCCGAGTTTTTTTTTGAGACAATGGGCTGTATTCATTGATCAATATCTGAATTACAATCAGCAGCCATCAAAGGCCAAGACACAGTCCGGTGCAAATTGCCAGCACACGACCTGTATTTCACTCGTGACCTGTTTCGCAAGAACATGAGCTACTTTGTTACAAGTTCTACTGATGAAAGAAAACTTAAACTCATAAAACAAAGAGCTAAACTCCCGGATTTCCTTCATAATCGTCACCACGCTGGAGCGTTGTTTCTCACCCACTGACCACAGCTTCAAAAGCTCCTGACAGTCAGTTTTCAGCCATACCCGCTGGACACCCACCTGTTGCGCCAACACCAGTCCGTCGCGTCAGGCTAGGCCCCGTTCGCTTCGCTGAAAAGCCAGACTAAAAAGTATTGTTCGTTGATTTATTGTTAGAAAAAAACACTGTTTCGTTGCTGAAAAAATACGGCTGATAAGCCAAACGAACAAGGAATAAGACCTCCATGGTTAAGGCGTCCAGACAGTTTCCATACCACTTGGCGCTGCCTCTAACGAAGTCACCATTTTCATTCCGAAGCACAGCACGTGATGCTGCCTTCCAATGCTCATAGAAAGCGCCGTCAGTATCTAGGCCCTGTTTAGTTCCACTTCGTTTTACTAAATTTTTCAAGATTCTTCGTCACATCAAATCTTTAGACACATACATGAAGTATTAAATATAAATAAAAAATAAAACTAATTACACAGTTTAGATGAAATCCACGAGACGAATCTTTTAAGCCTAATTAGACTATGATTGGACACTAATTGTCAAATAACAACGAAAATGCTACAGTGCTCATTTTGCAAAAAATTTTGCATCTAAACTGGGCCTTAGAGAAGCAACCTCAGTATTCTTGTTCGGCTGTTGGTAAAAGCAACTGCTGCTGACTGTCAACACAGTGATCTGTGAGAGGCAGCAGCAGCACCAATGGCTGCAAAACAAGCTAGGTTCAATTGGATTATGGGATCTAAAGCTCTGTTTGGACGTGGAAAATTTTATCCGTTCTTATATTTATTTTATAAAATTAAATTAATTCATGTAAAGTTTATATACGATTCTTGTGAGGAATCTCTATCCCAAATGGACCCTAAAAATTTGTGTGTTGGATTTTCATTGTCTAGTCTGGAATCTGTCATGTTTGGGTGGGTGTGGGATTGATATTTTGTTAGTTGATTCTCAAATTTGTATCCGCTACAAACAAAGCCAAAATACACTGGTCATCCAAAAATTATAATTTTCTTTTTTTAAAGCTACGAAATGTTATGTCATTAGAATTGTTAGTCAACAAATTTATAACAAGATGTTGATTCTACAAGAAAATGCTAAACCATTGTAATTGTTGAAGCAACATGTCTCACGTTAAAAATGTTGAACGACTAAAAAGAAGTTGAGTCAACGAGAAAATGTTGTATCCACCTTCTTTTTAAAAATACTGAATCAGCAAAAATATGGTAAATCAAGAGAGAATTTGGAGTCAACAAAAGTAGATGTGGGAATAAGAAACATCTTAAACATGGCAAGATGTGGGAAGTAGTAATCCATTAGTTATAAATGTAAGATATTTAGATATCCTACGTCAAACTTCTAAAACTTTTATTGAAGTAGTGAAAATATATATTAGTATCTGTAATACCAATCAAACACGTTATCAAGGTGCCTTGATTGATAGATTTAATGAGACTAATCTGATGTGTAGTGATTCATTTCTAATAAGTTATTAGAGAAATTTGACTTAGGAAAAAAACTAAAATTTGTTATATCTTGGAATAGAGGTGTGAAGAAATTAGTTGACATCTAAATTTGATGAATACGTGGCCGGCTAAGTAGTGGTCTACCAGACTACAATAAACAACAAGGTCATCAAACCTTTTTCTTTTACGATCAGCGTATGATACAAACCGTATTTTAAAATTCGTATAGGCCGTGACATCCATCCTTTTGTCCATCACTACGACAGCTCTTGGTCTTGTTTGGGCCACAGGTCGCTTGCTCGCTCATCCTCCCAATCTCTGCTCCGCTCCAGTAGTGGTGGCGCCAGTAGCCCGATGACACGGGTGCAGCGCAGACACACGTCGCCGCCGGGGGCCGGGGCCAAAGCACGCCGCGCCACTGCCGCGAGCACCCTATCTATCTGTATCTGCGCAGCTTCCGTTGTCACACCAGCACACCACCCTGTGCGGTGACGCCGCGGGATCCCAGAATTATACCTGCCGTGATCCGCTTGGCCGCCGGCCCCGGCCTCGCACTGCATTGCTCACCTCACCCCGCAACGAGCACAGGTAGACTCCCGGCGCCGCAAGCCCGCAACCGCCGCGCCCAATGCGCCTCCGCCATATGCTCATCCGCCACTGCCTGCAAGCGACCTCGCGCTAGCTGGCCTTTCTCCTCTCTCTGCCTCGCGCGCGTCGCCTTAATTTGGCCACTCCCGCAGCTTGCTTCCTTATCTCGCACGCCGATCGCTGCTGGGCAGCTGGGGGCCTGGAAAAGGAGGTGGCAGCACTGGCAGAGCGCAAATATAAAGCAAAGAAGAACCTTGAAAACGAAAGCCGGGCGGGTCGCACGAGATCCGCGCCAGCTGAAATCTTTGCTTTTGCCGATGGTTCCGATCAAACCTTTGGCCTGACTATCCAGACGCTACATGTAAAAGAAACAAAGGAGAAAAAAGCGGCCTTTTCTGCTCCTGGTCCAAAGCTCCCTTTGCTCTAGCTAGCAATAGCGGCCCGTTCGGTTCGTCGAAAAAATAA